TTTATTTAATTAAACATGCACTCAATTAAAAACAACAAAAGAAGAAAACAAACCAATGCTAATGAGGCTGTTGCTAGGTAAATGTTTTAAGGATGGTGGTGGTGGTTATCGTCCACCACTTGTTGTCACTCTAGTTCATAAACAAAGAAGCAGAAGTGAAAACAAAGGAGAGGCTGTTAGTGGGTAAGTGTTTTAAGAATGGTGGTGGTGGTTATCACCCACCACTCGTTGTCACTCTAGTTTATTGTATAACTTATTTAATTTTTTTCTTTATAGGGAAATTGTCAAGTGAAAAACTTATTCCTGTTCTTAAAGATGTAAAAAATTCAAAGTGGCTATACTCCAGATATTTCTATGCCTTTCCTTTCAACCAATGGTCACTTGAACATTATGAAAATTGGATTCTGAATAATTACACAACTTCAAAAAAAGAGGTTTACAATCAGTGTTTTTTTAAAATAATTCGAAAAATAAAGGAAGATTCTAAAACTTTAGAAGAGATAAGAGAATTCATATCAAAATTAGACAGAAAGGTAAGGTATTGATTTAATTTTTTTTTCTATACTACACCTGTTATTATGATGAATTGTTGGTCGTCTTGTGCAGTGACCTTTTTGGTGTGAGCAATATTTTATCTATCCTAGTAAATGAGAATCGGTTCTCATTGTGAAGGGATAGCATTAATAATATGAGTTTGGATGAGGCTACTCCTTGCCTATCCTGTGAGGATCAGTTCTTCTCACATTAGTAGGGATAGCACAGGGGAAGGTATGTCCTTGAAAGTTAGCCGAATTAGTACATTTTTTACTGGCTATGTCCAGTAGTATGTGTCTGATCATCCTTACTTTATTGGAAAATTTATTTTGTATATCTTAACAAGCGTTAAAATTAACTGAATATGGTGTACCTAGTTGTTCTTTTTAATTAATCAATTTCTTACTTGATTACTAATTTTTTTTTTTATTAAAATAGTCAAATTTTGTATGTAATGATTTTATCAATGATGAATATACCGGATATGAAGCAATGCTAGAAGGCAACATTTCAACATTTCTTGATATGATTTTGAATTATTATAAGGCAAAATCTCTTAGAGAGTTTAGGGGATATAATGAAGTAGCGTTCCAGATCGCAGTTGAATTACTACATCAGGAAATTTTTTCTGATGTAAATTTACATAATATTATGGGGCCCGCCATAAACTTACATAAATAGTGTAATATTATGCAAAAATTGCACAAAAATTATGCAATTATTACATTCAGTGTAAATATTACATCCTTTTTATGTGAAATATTATGATATTTCATATTAAAACTTATGGATGTAATATTACGGTGGGAAAATTTTCCTGATGTACTTCCCACAAACCATTGGTGTTCTGAATTACGTCTCGTAATAGATAGTTCAAAAATATCAGGCAAAGGTCACTTTGGCTTTATCGATATTTTCATTAATGGAGTAAATGGAAATGGTTTAAATTCAAGCATAATATTGGAACTAAAGTGTATATCATTGGTAGGTCTTCTGAGTGGAGAAGAAGGAAGATGGATTGATAATCCAGGTTATAAATCGTTAATGGCATTAGATGCAAAACTTGAAAAAGAAACTGAAAATGAACTATTAAATAGAATTTATTTTTATTGGTGTAAAGAGAAAAAGAAATGTGAACGAGTAAACGTAAAAGAAATAATCAGTGATGGAGTGAAACAGCTTAATAGATATATGTTAACAATGCAAAAAAAAATGGTAGGGTTAATAATCAAAAGGGATTGGGAGTTTGTGATGATAAAATTAAAATAGAGAAAGGTGAGGGATTTTGGGGAGGTTTTCTTTTGGTCTCGATTGGTTCTAAACGAATCTTGACAAAATCATCAGAATTTAAAAAAATAGGCATAAAATTTTCTATATCCTGTTGATTGGAATTTTCATATTTCTTTAGCTGTAAAATCAATAAGATGATCTTGGAGGTTGTTTTTTATATAATAAATTATGATGATTGATATTTCATAGTAGCATTAAAGAATCACCTGAGGGAAAATCTTAGTTAATAAAAAATTGTTCATAATTCTTTATAGAAGTTTCTGTAGTGGAAATCATGACTTTTAAAAATTCTAGTTATTTCAGCCTTGATCGAGGCCAAAATTCTTATGTGCGATCAGCACTGATGTTGATTGATATCACAGTTAACAATCACATTTATATTGCTTGCATATAAATCAGACCTGGTTGTAGCATTATTAAATAAAGAATAAAATATACCTCGCACTATTTTTTGCTGGTCTTAGTGATCGATTTAGTATTCAATATTAATATTAGAAGTTCAAGAACTACGCTTAATATTTATTTTTAATTATATTGACGAAAAAAAAGTTAATAATAATAATAACTATATTTTTTTATTAAAAAAATTTTTTTTTGCAAATATACATTTTTATAAATAAAAAACAAAACATTTTTTTTATTTATTGTCCAAATTAAATTAAATTGAAGTCTTAAATATTATCCTCTCTCGTTTTTTCGCTCTCATTTACAATCTTCTCATACACACTCTCTTTCTCTTGTCAAGTTATTATTTATCATCAGTAGCTTTTGTCGTCATCAACTTTATCGTCGTTATCTGTATTAGAGGGAATGGTGGAGGTAGCATTAGCACTATCAGTAGTTTTATTGATCGAATAAGGAATTGCAGAATCAATAATATCATTACCAGAGACACTATCTTCTTCTTCTTCTTCTTCTTGTACTCTTCCTACACTTCCTATTCCCACCCATTCTTCTTCTTTATAACCACTAGTCGTAGCTCCAAGTGTTGGATCAAAGGCACCACTTTTCCAAGCTTGTTTTTGTTTTAATTTATCTTCTGATTGACCTTCACCAGTACCAGTTTTGTTATAATTATGATATTTTTGCATTTGCGCTTGAACAAATATCAATTGATTTTCTAATTTTTCTGCTAATTGATGACAAGCTTCGGTGATTGCATTTTCTAAATATCCTTTTAAACTTCTTTCGATGAATGGTAAAAATATTTTATATAATAACCTAAATAAAAAAAAATTTTTAAAAACCAAATAAAAATTTAGGTTTAGATTTTTTAAATTTTAAAAATAAAAATAATAAATATTTATTTATTCAATCCACTTACTTGTATTTAGTATCATGGAACCTTAATTTTAATTCACTAATATGAACATCACTTTGCTCAAGTTTTATTGAAATTGGCTTACTACCATCAGTAGGGATGGTAAATCTAGCTTTAATATTAAGTTTTAGTCCATAACCATCTCGTGGAATTGAAAAATCAACAAATCCAAACTATTGTATATTATAAATAAATATTTCAAAATATTTATTACGCATAAATGACATTCAATCATATATTAAAACCCCTTACATCTCTGAATTTAAAAGGCCCATATTTTTTCTTATAAAGAAATGCAATATTACGTGCATCAATATGAAATTTAGAACTTATAAAGAATATTTAAATATTAATGTTAATTAAGATTTCATTTTATCGAATTAAAAAAAAATTCAATTGTTCATTCACTTACATTTCAATTGTGATTATATTAATAACTCGATCTTCTTCTGGTCGTTCCACATCTATATCAGCATTTAATCCAATATTAATGTGTTTTGGGAGAAATTCATATAAATGAACTATGATATTATCAGCAATAAATTCTACATTTTCATCAAAACTAATCGATATTCAAAAAAAAAAAAAAATAATAATAATTAAATTTCTTATTTATAAAAAAAAAAATCTTACTCCCCAAAAAAAAACAAGAAAAAAACTTACTATTCATATCTTGGTAAAGGAATGTATTCCAATTTTTTAGCAAGACGAGGTAAAACAATTGAGAAATCTTTGATCAATTGAAATTTAATTGTGAAATGACCCAACTCATTCAAGAATAAATCTTCAATCAAGATATCGATATCATTTTTTAATTTCAATGTCTTTTTATCCTCCAGCATCGCTTTGTTAAATTCCAGAACTTCATTAACGATTTTTCGAGTCAATTCGCCATAATGATCTAATAAAATTCTTCGTCCTCTTTCAATCAACTCGAATCCTTGTTGAACATAATTAGGATTCTTAATAAATTTTGCTTCAAGTAATGAGGAAAGAACAAATTGTTTAAGCTCTTTAAGAAACTCGCGCAAATCATCATCGTTTTCTATTTTTTGTCCAAATTCATGTATTTCTGAAATTAATGGGTCTAATGATCGATTATTTGCAAATCTTTCTACAAGTTCCTTTGCATTTTGTTCTGCCACTTCAATTGATGACGGTGTTAGTGTTGACGATGTTGATCGACTTGGTTGATGTTGATGATGAGTTTCGTCATCGCTACTGGAAGTGCTGCTGCTAGCAGTGGCGGCATCAATAATAGGTTGGACGACATGAGTGGCAAATTCACTTGATTTCTCGGTAATTTGAGAAACTATATTTATTAAATCATGGATGGCCTTTTGATATTCTGGTTTGGATTGCAACTCGATCATCACATTTTTGAAGCGTGTAATTAACTGTTCACGTGCTTTCGGCGAAAGTTGATAACTGGAAATAACAGATTTGACATTTGAGGTTATCGCCATTAATCCTTCTTTGGCAGAATCCTGTACACTGGTTTTTCCTTCACTAGCGTCCTTAATGTAAGGTTCAGTTATTTTAGCTGTTGATTTTACAGTAGGGTATACTTGTTCACGTGCTTTTTGACCTATTTCAATAACCGCTTCATTAATTCCTTTCTCTTTGTCATAATTATCATTATTTTGATTTGGTTCTTCATTTACTGCAGAGGCTATTATGTCTTGAGCGATTGTGCTAATATCATTAACCAATTTACGAAATTCTGAACTTGAAATTAACAATCGTGATATATTTAACGTCTTTTCTACTCCTTCGCTGAGTAAAGGTTTACTAGTAGTTGCTATATCACTTATTTCCTGTTTAATCTCTTCACTGGATGGTAAATTATCTATATTAACAATAGTTGGAAAAAAAAACTTGTATTAACTATATATAAAAATTCCGAAAATAAACAAAAACGCACACGAAATAAATAATCAATGTATATACGAAATATATGTGTGCGCGTACCATTAATTGCTCGACTACTATGATAAACTAAATTTTGTATTTCATCCCCGTGATTTTTCTCTTTCAAGAATATTTTCAAAGCTTCTAAAAAATTTTCCAAATCTGCAGATATTTTTTTACCCAACACTGACATACCACGTGCTGCGTCGTGTAGTACTTCTGATTGATGAATTTCATCAATTACAGTGCTTATTTGTGAAGTTGTAGGTAATTTTCCTTCACTACATTAATAATAAATGAACCACGTTAATTGATTGTTTATCGAAATAATTGATTTTAATAATCAATCTCAATAATTATATCCACCCAAGTGCCCCAGTAACTTCTACAATCTTTTCTTTAGATCGAAAAGCTTCTTGTTCTCGCGTTGCACGTTCAATATCATGAGTCGGTGGTAATTTGTCATTGCTCTTTGCGGTAAACATTTTAAAATAGTAATTATCTTAATAGGAATGAATATTTGATGTATTTATATATTAATTTATTAACGATGAGATCATAATTACGTCACCCCTTAATATATATAGTCTAGTTATTTATTTATTTTATGTAATTTTTTCTCACCTGTAAATACCAATATAGTGTTTGTGGGTTAACGTGATATTTACTTATTATTTATTTGTGGGAAGGCAAAATTTTCGGCGTTCTTTTTTTATTATTATTATTAAATTAATATTTTAAACGTATACTTTTTTTTTTCAATTTAAAAAAATTGTTTATACATTGTAAAATATAATAATTTCTAAATAACGTAATCTATTTATTATTATAAATAATTTTTATTTATATGTTTTAATTATTAAAGTTTAAGAACACTTTTGGCAAGATACTTCTTATAATCTTCAATAGATCCTTTCCATGGCGTCACTGTACGATCTTTACATAACCAAATCTCTTGTGCAACTTGTGAAATTAATCGAAAATCGTGAGACACTAAAACTACACCTCCACTAAAGTCTTTAATTGCTTTTGCAAGTGAATCAATGCTTTCCATATCCTAATATATAACAAATAGATAATGCTTTTTAATAATAATAACTATTGGTATTAGAAAAATTATTATTAGAAACTTACCAAATGATTCGTCGGTTCGTCCATAAGTACTATATCCGGATTGGACAATACTAATTCTGCAAAAACGAGACGAGATTTTAATCCGTCACTTAATGTTTTAATGTTTGATGTTTGGTGAGAACCTGTAAGCCCAAATTTTCCAATTTGATTTCTCCAAAACTATTTAAAAAGGTACATCATTATTATTAATTTAATTTTTTTGTTTTTTAAAAAAAAAACCCCCATTTATTTATAATTTCAAACCTACATCTATATCACCTTCCATCTGAGAGAATTTTTTTCTCATATATTCTATTGGACTAATGTCCATTTCAAGTTGATCGGCACTATTAAATTTAAATTTATAGAAAGAGTGAGTGATTTGTTAAATTAAATCAACTATGATAAGTAAAGAGATATATATATTTCTTACCTATGTTGACTATATTTTGCTAATTTCAAATTTGTATGACGTGAAATTCTTCCGTTTACTGGTTGAAGTTCATTCATCATTAATTTGAGCAATGTACTTTTACCTGAAAAAATTATTTAATTATTATCACGATTATTAAATAAATCAAATGACACAATATATATATATATATATATATTTATTTTCGACAAACCTGCTCCATTTGGCCCAACCAATGCTACACGAGAATCCATATCAACAGCAAGATCAAGATCCTCATACAAAAGATCTTTACTTGAAGTTTTCCCAGAGTAAGAGAAACAAACTTGGTCAAATTGCAAAACGGGCGGAGGAAGTTTAGCAGGAGTACCAAATTTAAATTTAAAAGTTATAGGGGGATTCACCTATAGATGTATATATATTATGATTGATTATTTTTTTTAAATTCTGATTGATGGTAGATGACATGACATGATATAAAATAATTTCATATAACCAAACCTTTTCAATCAATCCTGCAGCTTCCATTTTATCTATGATTTTTTGCTTACTTTTAGCTTGTCTGACCTAAATAATAATGTAAATTAAGAGTAAATTAAATTTTTTGATTCTAATGGAACTTATTTGATCGTAATTACAAATAAACCATTTTTGTTTAACATAATAACTTACCAGATTAGCATATGTACCAGCTGAGGCGATAAATTTTTTAATGTGAGCAATTTCATCTTGTTGTTTATTATATGCCTTCATTTGATTTGTTTCTAATTCGGCTTTAGTTTTGATAAAAGTTGAATAGCCACCTCCGTAATAATTTAATTTCTTCTTATCCTATACATAGGAAATGTATTTAAAAATTTAATTAGTAATTAATTTTAATTTACTTTTAAATTTGAATGAAATGAAAAAAAAACTAACTGTTAAGTGTATTGTTTCATTACAAACTCCATCAAGAAAATCTTGTGAATGACTGACTAGAAGTAATATTCTGAAATAAAAATAACATTATAAGACATCTTAATCTATATATTTATTTATTTATTTATTATATATAATATATTTTTAAATTACCTGTTGTAACCCTTCAAATATTCTTCAAGCCACACACAAGCCTCCAGATCAAGATGATTCGCTAAATAAATGATAATAATATAAAAATTGTTAACGTGAATATATAAATATAAACCCACATTTTATTGAATAACTTACTTGGTTCATCCAATAGCAATATTGTAGGTTTGATAAATAATGCTTTGGCTAATGCTACTCTCATTCTCCATCCACCAGACATATCTTTGGTTTGTTTTTTCATCATAACTTGAGAAAAACCTAAACCATATAATAAACTATTTGCCCTAGCAACAAATGTTGTTTCATCTAAAGCTGAAATACGGTCATACAAATCCTCTAATCGTGGATCGTCTGCTCCATTCTCTGTTGCCAACATATCTTCTACTTCTCTTTCAAGTCTTCAATAATAATAATAAATAATAAAATTATTATTTAAAAGATAATTACAAAATAATAACAATAAATAATAATAATAATAATAATAATAATAATAATAATAGTAATTTACAATCTAATAAATTACCTAGCGACTTCGTTCTTTGCTGCTAGTACTACATAATCTGTAGCATTTAAATCGCATGGTTCAGCCTCTTGATTTAATAAATATATCTATATATTGAAATTATTATTCAAGAAAGTAATATTAGTAAAAAACAATCAAAGTTCTGAAATTACAATGCTAATAATTTAATTAATTAATTTACATACATCCAAGTGGTCAGGAATTTCCACTTCTTTTGCAGCTAAAGACTCTAGAAATGTACTCTTTTTTTTAAAAAAAAAATCCAATTAGATTAAATCAAGCCGATCGATCTTCTACATATTAATAATATAAAGTTTTGTTATTATTAAATAGTAAAAACCAAATACCTTTCCACTTCCATTTGATCCAATAAGACCATATCTAAATAAAAATTTAAAAACGCATCATTAATTGATTAATGAGTATTATTTAAAGATTCAAAAAAAAAAAAAAAAAATCATTCGTGCAATTAACTACCTTCTACCAAAATTTAGTTCGATCGTGGCATTTTCAATTAATACACGTCCATAAAATGACAATGTATATTGTTCGATTTTTACATCTCTTGACATCGGTTGTGAGGTCAAAACACCAGTTGCAGTTCTTTCAGTTGCATTCTTCATTGATTCCAAAGACAAGCCGTTTACTGCTGCCGCAATCGAATCTGGTGTATCTTGATCAGTTTTATTTTTAATCGAAGATGTACTATTGCTCTTATTTTCAGAAGCTGATGCATTGTTTACAGATGTTGTTGCATTTTTGGCTGCTTTTTTTGCCATACGTTTTTGTTTAGAGGCTGATGACATTTTTTTCAAAAAAATTTTTTAAATTTTATTTTATTTTTGTTAAATGTATTTTTCAGAAAAAAAAAATCTCGTATTTTTGACAGGCTGACAAATAAATACTGATATTAGTGGGTAGTATAAAAATGGATATCACATGTTAATTTTCACCCATTGAAAAAATTTTCGGTTTCAAAATAAAAAAGATTTTAAAATAAAAGTTAGAAATTCCTATGTATATCTCAATTATATTATTTTACTTAATAAAGTATAGACATGTTATCGTGACAAAATCGTACATGAGTCAATGAATTTATTTATGGATAAAACAAGCAATTTTTATATTAATAAATAATAAATAATAAATAATTTAATTTTTTATATATTCTTTGTTGAATTCCCTGTAAAAAATTGATGATAATAAACGGTTTATTATACAATACTATGGTATTATTTAAACGATACATTTTAATTAAACAATATTCACCTTCCAATAACCAATCTTCTAATTTCACTAGTTCCTGCTCCAATTTCATACAATTTAGCATCTCTAAGAATACGACCAGTATCATAATCATTTATATATCCATTCGCACCAAGACATTGTATAGCGTCCAATGCGACTTCTGTGGCTCGTTCAGCTGCATTCAATATGACAGCAGCACAATCCTTTTATTATTATTATTCATAAGAAGAAGATTAATAAAGTAAGTAGGTCAAAAGCATATACACCAACTGTATTAATTAATAAATTACCCTATTAGAAATATGACCACTGTCACATGCCCTAGCCACCGAATATACATATGATCTAGAAGCATTGAGTTTAGTATACATGTCAGCTAATTTTGCTTGGATCAATTGGAAATGTCCTATTGGCTCTCCAAATTGTTTACGTGTATGTACATATGGAACAACAATATCTAGAGCAGCTTGCATCAAACTGACAGAATGTTGTTATTGAAGGAATATATTTATTTATTTATTTATTAGTAAGTGAATTGAAAAATAATAACATTCAAAAGAAACTTATTTATTACCCTAATGGTCCACCTGAAAGAACAAGTCTTTCTAGATCAAGCCCACTCATAAGCACATAAACCCCTTTGTTTATTTCGCCCAATATATTTTCATCTTTATTAAATATAATAATTAAATTAAATATAATAATTAAATTAAATTAAATTAAATTCTTTGAAATATTTTTATTTTATCTCAAGTTACCTGGAACTTCACAATTATCAAAAATTAATTCACAAGTATTGGATCCTCTCATGCCCAATTTATCAAGCTTTTGTGCAGTTGAAAATCCTTTAAACCCCTAATAATAATAATGATAAATATTTTACAATTTTGTTATTATTTATTAATCTTGTTATTTATTAGAGAAATAAAACCAAATTAATGATGATGATGATGGTGATGATACTTTTTCCACCAAAAAAGCAGTAATACCACGGGATCCTGCTTGAGGATCTGTCTTTGCGTAAGCTATTAAAACATTTGCATCAGGACCATTTGTAATCCACATTTTATTTCCATTAAGAATATATCGATCTCCCTTTTTTTCAGCACGTAGTTTCATAGATACTACATCAGAGCCGGAATTATGTTCAGACATTGAAAGTGCTCCAATATATTCACCAGAAATTAGCTAAAATTAAAATCAGTAAAGATTTTGAATAATTTTTGTTTATTAAAAAAAAATCGATTATTAAAAAAATTTATTTATATAGAGTAAATACTTTAGGTAAATATTTATTTTTCTGGCTATCGTTACCATTTCGTACGATCTGATTAACACATAAATTTGAATGTGCTCCATAGGAAAGAGCAACAGAACCTGATGCTCTTGATATTTCCTCCATAATAAAAGTATGTTCCAAGTAACCTAAATTTAATCCACCATATATTTCTGGTGCTGTGACACCTAAAATTCCCATATTACCAAACTTTCTCCACATATCCTTTGTTAGAACATATTAATTATAGTTAGTTAATTTACGAGGTCATATTATTATTATATATTATTTCTTACCATTGGGAATTCATTTTTTTTATCTATTTCTGAGGCACGAGGCGCGAGTTCCTTCTGACAAAAATTCTTAACAGTTTCTCGAAGCTATAAGTAAAAGAAAGATTAGTCTGTTTTGTATTATCATTGTTATAATTAAAAAAATTTAAGAATTAAAATTACGTTATTCTGTTCAGCTGTTAGACCAGCTATATGTTCGTTATAAGTCGATGCCAGGTAAGTTCGTTTTTGAAATGATGATAAATTCAACTTTTTAAAATTTATATTAATTGAATTAAAATGGTACATCAAAATGATATGATTAAAGAAAGTTTTATTAAGTGAATTCTTACCAGACTAACAATGGGTGGCAGTAGAGTGGAATTGATTTTTTTGAATAAAGAATTAAACATTTTATAAAACGGAAACGTATAAATTTGCGAATAATAATCTATTAGTATTGAGCTTTTAAATTATAATAAATAAATAAGGGGTAGTTTATATGTTCTTCCACATTTTCAATACAATAATATATCGTTTTGATCTATTAAATTTTTTATGCAGCTATAATTCAGTGTAACTTCGTGACATGTAAAGTGTGGTAGCACACAGTTCATATTTTTCAAAAAAAATTGGTTTTTTAGTTTTCAACAAACTTTTAATTTTTTGTCGTCTCGATTGCTTGTTATCAACTAAAATATTAAACTAATTGAAAGTTGTAGAAAAACATTATAGGTTTAGTAAATCAATAAAAAAATATTTGCTGTTATCAATTAATTGAGTTTGAACTTTTTGACATTATGAATGAAATATTTACCAAATAATTTCAAATTTCACATTTTATATAGCTGGAAATTTTAAAAGTTTTAAATTTCTATTAACAGCAGTAAGCAAAATTTATTATTTTCAACCAATATATTTATAAATGTATATAAAATGCAATTGAAGAATATAATTCAATATACATTAATTAGTGAAGAAGATTTTTAAACGTAAAAAAGACCCAAATTCAAATAATATGTATGCAACTAGTTATTTTTATTTGGCTTCTCTTTTTTAATCAATATATATATATATATAATGGTTTTATTCTCTAACATCTTTAACAATTAGTGATACAACACGATCGACAACTACTGCCACTGAAGCAAGAAATGGCGGACTTACGAGTCCTTCGGGTGATTCATTTGCACATTCAAATGAGAAAACATCACCTACTGAAACCAATGTGGTGAGTTAACAATTTATACATAATTCATAAAAAAATTAATTCGCTACAAAATTCTTTAACCAACAAATTTTATTAATCAATCTAGCCGAAGGTTTTAGTTGATTCAGAAGGTTATTCCATTCCGCCATCTTCCGATAAACCATGGGAAACCTTTTCATCAACCGACGGAAATGATTCGGATGCACGATCGGAAGACGCTTCAAGGTGAATATCGATTGTGCTAATTATTATTAATAATTTAATTTAATTCATTTATTATTATTATTATTATTATTATTATCATTATTATTATTATTATTATAACTGATGAAGATTTGCAATTTATTATAGTTCACTCTCAGCTCAAGAAAAAATGCGTGTAGAAATTAAACAATCTACTATAACAGAAGAAAATGAAGCAGATGCTGCCGCTCTCTCTTCGGTCGTCACAGCACTTAAATTGGTAAGATTATTTTATTTTTAAAAAACATTATTAAATAAATAAATAGTTTTATTTAGTATCTTATATTCAATCATTTTTGATAAATAGAGGCATAATCCAACACGTGGTAAAAGAGAGTAAGATTTAGCAAAAAAATTTCATTTTTCCTCCTCTCACTCTAATCAAACATTTTCCTTTCTTATAAAGAAATGATAGTAATCATATTTACAATTAATTCCTCTACACAGTCAATGGAGAATGACTAATTCACAAAGCAGCGATAATATTTATGGCAAATATACTTCACCACAACGTAATAATTCAGTACCTATGAATGAATCAAATGGCTCAATACGACCCCTATCCGAATTCTCCTCAAATAATGTAAGCCATACAAAATTTGTCACAGAACCAGAAATTAAAAAATATGAATTATCTGCATCAATTACCGAGACTTTAAATGTAATCACAAAAGATGGTGAAATTACAAAGTTTCTTTTAACAGGAGAAATAAGCTTTTCACATAATCTATCAATAGTATACGATGCCAATAACTATCCGCCATTACGTGTCAGGATCAAAAATTTGGAAAATTTGGAAAATTTTGTCCCAAATCTATCAGTTTTCAAGCCTATCGCAGATAAATTAGGCGAATATGAGGTGGATATTGGATCATTATTCTCAACAGACAATTTTCCGGTCGTTGTAATGAAATATCAGGTGCACATCGATCCAGATGATCGAAGCAAGTTTATACCGTTGAATGTACATCCTTGGTGGAAATGTGAACCTAATGTGACGTTAATTGCAATATCATATCATCCCAACTCAGAATGTAAGCTTTCAGGTGTACTTTCAGAGCTTTCATTTATCATACCTGTTGATGGAAATGTTGACATAGTACAATCTAAACCAATTAGTATATGGAGCAAGAAACAAAAAAGAATATGTTGGCAAGTTGACGATATTGATCTTTCAGCAATTTCCGAGAAAAAAACCATTTTAGCAAGACTTGAAGCAAATCAAAAATCGGAACCTGCGCCTACTGCAGTAAATTTTAAATGTAAAGGGCGTTTGTTTAGTGACATTTCTATTGAAACAGTATCCCTTTCAAATGGAAATGGTAACATAAAAGGAGATTATTTTAATCACAACAAAAATATTATTATTAATTTTAACGAAGTTATATGTCAAGCTATTAGTGGGAAGTTTTTGGCATCATCCTAATATGCTGTTAATTTATTATTAATTTATATTTTAATTTATTATAATCATGTTCATTTATTATAATCATCATCAACATACTATCATCATTAAATAGTTTTTTTTTCTTTAGAATTTTCGCATAGATTACATCAATACTATTATTATCATCATTATCATTTATAATAATTAATTTTCTTTCCCTTTTCTTTTGCATTACAATTTTATAAACTATATATAAAATTAACTTGTGTAACAAAATTGATTATTTCAAAAATGTAGTGTTTGTATCCGTTGATTATCCGGGTGTTTGAGTACTTGGTCAATCAATAATAATAAAGCTCAACATCCGGATAATCGGTCAGTCAATAAAACTCAACGCCCGGATAATCAGTCATTCACCGAATATCCGCCGAATATCCGCCAAATATCCACGTTGAACATGCATGTTTTTATTTTTTTAAGAAATACAAATAACAACAGATCAATTTTATTTGTTTGGCTGTCATTGTGTGTTTCCAGCTTCACTAAATACAGTCAAACCTTGTCGCAGCAGATGAATGAAGATTTATTTAAAACCCGTTGTGGCAAGATTTACTGATCTTGCCACAATGGATTTTTATGTTTTTATATTTTAATGTGAATGTGAAGCAAAAATTTAAAAATCCGTTATAATCATATTCCGCTGTGACAAGGTCGCTCATTTGGAGTAGAAGTTACTGCAATGCATAAATATTCTTTAAATAATAATGACACAGTTAGTATTCATATTACTTGATATATTATTATAATAGAAAGGATGTTGGTGATAGTACAATTATGGATAAAATAGTATTAACATGATATTGGCCGTCGCGTGCCCAATATCTTATACTTAATGTATATATTCTTTCAATTACACGGATAAAAATTTCTATTTTCTATATTTCTGTACCACCGATTATTCACCAATTATTATTATCCGGTGAAAATTTTCAACATCCGATTAACCGGATAATCGGTGAATAATCGATGAATATCATTCGGCGGATACAAACCACTAATTTTTACATAATTTGGAACTTTTGATAATCCTATTTTATCAATATCATTATCGCTGCTTGTATCAAGTGTTTTTATTGTATCAATCGTTTTTACTTACGTCAAGGGCTTTTGCTTTAGTCAAATCATCAGAATGGCCCTGGTGAGAAACTACCTTTAGTCAATACTTTAGTTACGTCAATGACTAAAGCCAAAAGTTTCGTCATACACCATTATTCTTGTTCGAAATAATATTTCTATCAGTTTCATTAACTTCACAATAATAATGAAAATAACTATTTTCTGAATTATGTTCACTTTCAAATTCATCTTCAACAAAAGATATCTTTTACTAAATCTCTTAGATCATAATTATCAGAAAATTCGTATTGATTAGTTTTGAAAAAGAAAAAGTTTTGTTAAAAAAATTTTTTTTAGAATTATTTATTTATAATATCTCCTTTCGTTACATTTCCTCCTTTTCGTCGCATTTTCTTCTTTTCGTCATATTTCGTCAATTTATCACATTTACCATTTCGCCAAATGTGACGAAATTAACAGTAATTTGACGAAATAATTTCCCGCCTACGAAAACATTTCGTCAGGTATCATTAGAATAGATGTCCGAATGTACCTATTGAAATAAACAATTTTATCTTGAAATTATTTTACATAAATACCAAAATGATGATTTTTTGGATGAAATAAGTTCCTTGACAACTTCTAAATGTTCTTAGAACAAGGAGTTTGTCTAATAATGATAATCAAAATCAAAAGAAAAGAAAAACAGTAATCAAAAGGATCTAATGAATTTTATGATGAATATTACATTTCAAAGATAAAAGTCAGTTGATAAAGCGTTGACAAGAATGTTTCTTCATCGAGTTTGTTAATCAATTAAAGCTTGCATATTAACTACCTTCGAAATTTAAATTATCCAAAGATTTTGTTAATGAGGAAGTAGCAAATGTGAATTTCATTCAATTTCGAAAACTTAAGTAAAGCTTCAAATTTTGTTAAATGACTTGTATGCTATTTTACCCTCTTCACCTCCTGTAAATAATTACAATGTTTTCAAATTTCCAGGATGAATTAGGAACTCTGCTATAATCCAGAAAGTTGCATTGCTAATGAGAACAATATAAATACGATCAATGTAATGATCTTTATCATCCTATACTTGCAGTAACAAAATAATTTTTTAAAAGACAATATAGTATAAAGTTCGGATAATTTTCAACATTGCTCCGAATGAATCATAAAAATTGGAAAATAATATTAACAATCAATAGAATAGTAATAGGGGATGAAACACTTATTTTAAATAGAGAATGGCAAGCCTCAACAAAAATTTTCATATTATATGCCCATTTTATATTTTTGCCAGCTTATGTATTTTATTTTTTTAAAAGGTGGTAGAAACCAATACAAATCAAATGCCAATTGATAAACCTATGATCAATGAATTATCGCCGTCTCATCCTCCTCTACCTGTTCCTACCAACAATGATCAATCATGTTTAAACAATTCCAAGATCATAATAATAAACCAAGGCATTTACTCTTTTTAAGACAAGCAGGTCTTGGATGATGGAACTGCAAGAAAACATCGTCATTACGGACAAGGAACTGCAGCCTTATGTGAAATGTGCTATTAAACGCACCAAGCCTATAATCCGTATGTTACCCTTTCAAAGGAAATTGCTCAAAGCCTTAATGGTCTAGATCATGACGTCATTTATCACATGTCAATGCGTATGATTTTCTGCGACGAAAACTTCAGAATCTGCTATTCTGCCAGTAAAAAATCAAAACAAAAATTAATTAGAATTATAATCAACACATCGTATTTAATTTCTTTAGTGAAGCTTTTGTCTATTAAGAAGCTTCTTCTATACTGTTGGCAAGTATATATATTCTAGAGTAATTTTGGAAAGAATTTGTAATTGATCTTGAATATTTATCCAATTTTCATTTATATATATTTATTGTAATTTGGAGACTTTTACCATATTTATGCGTTAGTGACAATGACATTTTCACTTTCTATTATTATTATTATTATGGTGAGACGACCACGAAATTTTTTAAAGTCACACACAGTGTTGGCGCAAAGTTATCGGAAATTAATCAATATTAATATTATTATCCATATTTTTGGTTAAATGTTATTGTTATTTGCAGGAATGTTTGTTTTTATAATTATAGTGATAGATCAAACAAAAATGCAAAGTTATGTGACAAAAATAAGGTTCATATCCAAAAAGGAAAATTTATAAAGGCAAGTGAAAATGGATTTTTTTCACGACGCACTAATACTGAATTCAAGCCCAAATTCAAACTCATTCAAAATTCGCTATTTCACAACTAATTTCTCATGACAAATCACCAAATTCAATATGAATTGGAATTAAATTGCTTTATTTTAGCATGTTAATATAATAAATATATGTCTTTAATAAAATGGAATAACAAATTTTATTCTTTTGCTACTCCTATTTTTTCTTTTTCTCCTGCTGCTATTTTTTCTTTTTCTTCCATTACTATTGTTTTTCTTCCACTACTGCTATTGTTTCTCCTTCCACTACCGCTATTGTTTCTCCTTCCACTACTGCTATTGTTTCTTTTCTGGGTTCGTGTTTTAATATCCAAGCTCTAACAATCAAAGCAACATAAAGCTAACAATAAGTTGATTACAATTCAATAAATTGGTTAATAAATCGGTTAATAAATTGGTTAATAAATTGATTATAAGTTAAATGCTTACTGAAATCGCTGCAAACAGAACAATCCCACTTATGTAAGGAACTATCAAATCATTACAATCCTGGGATTTAGCGCCAACGTAAACATTAAGTTTACAAGTTTTACCCGAGGTATCTTTACTTAAATAAAGAGCAGTAAACGTAAACGTTTCTAAAATTACATAAGATACTACAATTGTATAAGATAATGGTTTAAAAATATCCAAACGTCTTTTTTTCTAAAAAATAATTATCGTTAAAAGATATCATTAAAAAATTATCAGTAGGAATTAATGATAATAACGGATTGATGAGATTTATTAATTTACCATGCGCGTGATCATTAGCGTACCAACCGAAAGAATTGTCATGATAGAATAAATAACAGCTGCAACTATTGAAAACCAGTCTAAAATATTTGTCATAAACGATGTCATAAAAAAAGTTTATATGGTGACTAAACTCAGCTGCCAAATAACTACAATAATAAATAATAAATTTCACTTACAACCAAAATTGATAGCAGATGATATATTATAGTATATTCCATACATTCCATAAATCTTATAAAAGATATAATTATAAACATATAAATAATTTGATAAATACATTAATTTTTCCTTAAAAAAAAAAAAAAAGATAACTCACAATCCATAACACCGTAATAATTGGCACCGCAGTGTTAAGTGGGATGCAGCAGCAGCAATGTGTTGCAGGCATTTTATTTTGATTATTTTATCAAAGAGTACGTAAGGAAAGAAAGAAAGGGGAAAATTCGATTCAATTTATAATAAATAAAAAAAATACATTCATTTACATGATTACCATTTTTATAAATGGTGGGTTCTCTAGCAAAAGGAGCATAATATTTATTTGTTCAAAACAACAGAGATGATCAACAATTTATATTTAGAAAAATGGTATGCCACCACTTATTTACATCACCTCAAATTTTGTATGATGATACTAATAATATAGTTCTTTTCTGAGCAGAAAATAGTTTTTCCTGAGCGGAATTTAGTTTAGACTTTTAATAGTTGAAAAGATTGCTTTAAATTTTGCTCAAAACAATGCAAACGATCTAATTTATTATTTATACACCTACTAAAAGCCTTTGCAGAGAATAAGCAAGTATTTCATGACCTCACAAACATTCACAGGCTTCCAATTCATAATATAGTTCAACTTTAATTTAATTTGGTTCGAAAAAATAAATATAAATAACAAGATTTATAACTATCTAGTATAAAACAAAACCTAAACCTTATTTATTAAAAAATTTATCATTTATAATTATGTTTATTATGTTTTCAAATTTAAATCAATCATCTGTAGATTTAATTCATAATGATATCACAAGTAATTTAAATCTAGAAAATGGCATGGAATTATCTCCTGAAAATTCAATTTTACCAGATGAGTTATATGATCCGGGATTTGGAATTATTTTTTGAAGATGAATCAAATTGTAAATGTTCTAAAAAAAAGATAAAATATGTTTTAAAAAAATTCCTACTATTGATATTTATCATATATTATTAATTTAAAAAATTCTTTATTGCTCAATCACTCATTTTTTTATTAAGTAATCTGATTTTTTCACCAGTTATAATCCTTATAATATAAATACATATTATGCAAAAAAACTCAATTTTGGTCAGAGGGCACTTAAGCTATCTTTTGCTAGAGAACCCCCAAATGTTTATTTGTTTCATTTTAATCTCTTTACAAAAAAAGAGATTATCCTACTTCATTGTTTATTTCGTTTAAACCTTGCAAACATGACCAATAAAGAACTTGAGGCGCAACGTCAAACAATTCTACATTACTGGCTAAATGGAATTCGTACTGCTGAAAAAATATATACAAAACAAAGACTCCCATTCGTAATACTCAATACAACAGCAAAAAACTCAAAGAAAAAGTCACTGTTAAACATATTGATGGTAATTGCCGTCGTTCTATGGTTACACGTACTGCTTCACGTTCAATTGGGCAACTGGTTCACCATAATTCTGCAATTACAACACGTCAACTTGCAGTTCGAATTCAAGAAACACATAATGTATTTCACATGGCAAAAAAAGGGTATAATAGCGCCATACCACTTTCCACTCCAACGCTTACCAGTAGTCATATTGATGCTCGAAAAACATGGGCACAGGCTCATTTGAATGATAACTGGGACTATACCATCTTTACAGATGAGACTGCTTTCGATTTATTTCGTAATAAAATTTCAAGATGGTATAAAGACCAGTTAAAGATTACCAAAATCACGGCAAAAAGTAATGGCTTGGGGTGGAATTTCATTGAATGGCAAAACCCCTTTGTTTTGCAGAAATAATGAATGGTCCTTTTTATGCGAATATTTTGCAAACCTAGCTTCTTCCTGCTGCTCAACAGCTGTATGGTAGAAACTGGCCTTTACAACAAGATAATGATCCTAAGTACACTTCGCGTGTTGCAAAGAATTTTTTATCCCAAAATAGTATTCATGTTTTAGGCTGGCCATCAAACAGTCCCGATCTGAATCCCATTGAAAATATGTGGCAGGTCGTAAAAAATAATATAGAAAGAAGAATGCCTAGAAATACTAGTGAGTTGAAACAATTTATGGTTTTATGGTTGAAGAATGGGATAAAATCCCCCATGAAACAGTGTAAAAATTTAATTAAATCTATGAAAAATCGTTGTGAATTAATATTACAAAAAATTGGAGATAGAATTTATATCAATTTTTTATATTTAATAAAGTAAATAATGAGATTTCAAATGAATCTATTTTTATTTACTTTCAATGTGTGATTGTTGAGATATACGTTTTATTTATGCGCAATATTTTTCGCAACTCACTGTACATGAATATATATAGTTATACATATGGTGTGGTGTGGTCGCACCTTCCTAATATTATAGAGACATTTAAAGTTTGTGTAAATGAGTACAGTATCAATTCAAAAAAAAAATTTGCTGAAAAATAAAAATTCGGTTTTATTTTGTAAAGTATTTCAATAAAGAAAATGCTCTAGTAAAAAGCCACAGTTGTATGGTCGCCGAAACTTTCTAGGCACATAAAAGGGGCAGTAAACAAGAATCAAAAATGATCGGTAAAACTAATTGATAAGTACCACCAACCATTGTGTGTGTGATCAATCGAAATGCTACCTTGCTGTAAGGAACCCCTTTTTCCTTACGTCAAAATACTAATTGTTTTAATTATTATTAAAAATACAATTTCTCTTTATTAATTACGGAAAGCTTATCTTTTTATACAAAAACGCATAATATAATATTACAATTAAATAAATAAAATTATTATCAATAATAATATCTTAGAACTTCCCAGAGAGCTGCAGCAATTAATTTGTAACTCATATACATAAAGAAAATAATATAAATGATAATACAAGTAATATAGATGATAATATAAGTAATATAAAAATAAGTAATATAACAATAATATAATGATAAGTAAAGTTGCATCGTTTCGTTTTAATTTAACGCGTTACGCGAAATTGCTGTGCCACATTACATATTCGCAATTAAGAACGAAAAGGAACTGTTACACTTGCAGTAGATAAATAACAACTTTCTACTTATTATTCCTATCCTACATGGAAATTATATTTAAAAAATCAAAAATGAGAACTTCTTGTATTTTTACTTGTATTTCCATTAGCATATTATGAAAAAAGAGGAAAATATTTTAATGGTTATAATATTCTTCTTGAGCTGATATCTGTCAATTTTGTAGAAGATTGTATTCTATTAATGTGCAACATCTGTTTGTGATTCCCAAAAATTTGGCTTATCGAGGTTTGATTGTAGTTGGCCCTGTAATTAATAATGCATTTTAATAGTAAAATGCACATTTTTAGAATATACAGTATATCCAAAAAATCACAAAAATAAATATCTAAATATCATTTTCAATATGATTATCACTACCACCATCTTCTTCTTCACCATTTTCTGTTCTAATTGTTTCATCATCGTCATTGCTTTTATCATTTTCACCTCTCACATTTCTATCATCATCAATTGTATGGTTGGATCGGTCTAAAGACCTCATATTGCTGCGCCACGCGCTCAAATTTCAAAAATTGCAATTTCGTGATTCGTTCAAAAAATGCAATAAATTTTTTTAAAAAAGGGTTACACGTGATTTTGGTTAAAAAACTATTTTCCTTACTGCCAAATTT